AAGTAGACAGACTTCCTGTAGGTCAGCATGCTGGATAACTGTTTCCAATGTGAGCAGGTCACAGTCTGCAGACATGCTAGGTAACTGTCTACACTGTGAGCAGGTCACACTGGAAACAGTTATCCAGCATGCTGACCTACAGGAAGTCTGTCTACTTCAATGAACAAAACCACATGAGTTTAGCCTCCTGTGGTGGTGCACACTTTTAATCCCAGCACTTGGGAGGCAGAGGCAGGCAGATGTCTGAGTAGGAGGCCAGTCTGGTCTACAAAGTGAGTTCCAGGACAGCCAGGATTACACAGAGAAACCCTGTCTCAAAAAAACAAAACATGGGGCTGGAGAGGTGGCTCAGTGGTTAAGAGCACTGACTGCTCTTCCAGAGGTCCTGAGTTCAAATCCCAGCAACCACATGGTGGCTCATAACCATCGGTAATGAGATTGGATGCCCTCTGCTGGTGTGGCTGAAGACAGCTACAGTGTATTCATAAATAAAATAAATAAATAAATTTTAAAAAAACATACAAAAAGACATGCTAAAGAAGTGTTTCTCACTGTGAATTTTTCTTGAGTTCTGAAGTACTTTTTAAAGCATGTTATTATAAAACTCTGTATTTTATTAAGCTAGGTGATAATCATATCTTCAGAAAACAAGCATCGTTAGCACTTTTGTCAACATAAGCTGGAAATGTATCATAAAGTTTTTAGTGAATTATAAACACACCTTTCAGGAATGTGTTTTGGAATTTCTATATCAAGTGACTTCATATGTAGGAGCTTTATCCCATTTTCCATCTTGTTTGCAGCCACTACGTCACAGGCAAGTTCGTACATGGTCTTGGATAATTCACAGGCATATACTGAGTGTGCACCAGCTTTTTTAGCAAACATGCTACAAAAGAAGAAAAATCCATTGTCTCTTTTCCCAACTTTAATAAAATTGTGATGCTTCAAACATGGGATCTTCCTTCCATTCTTTAATGTAACCACAATTTGTTCTGAGTTTTAAAGAGAAGGACTAGCAAGATGGCTCAACAGGTTTTTTTGCACATCCAAGTCTGACAACCCAAGTTCAATCCCTGAAACCCAGCAGAAGGTACAAAGACTGAAAGTTAGCTTCTGAATTCCACACGCATACTGCACATTTGAGATGCAGAAGCAGATGGATCTCTGTAAACTCCAGACCAGCCTGGTCTACAAAGCAAGTTCCAGGGCTACACAGAGAAACTGTCTCAAAATAATAATGATGATGATGATGACAACAATGACGACTACGACGACAACGATGATGAACTTATTTAAAAACAAATCGTTCAATAAATAATGACATCCATTTGTTTGTTTTGTTTTGGTTTTGGTTTTCTGAGACAGGGTCTCTCTACAAAGCACTGGCTGTCCTGGAATTCAGTATGTACACCAAACTATTCTCAAACTCACAGAGATCCTCCTGCATCTGCTTCCCAAGTGCTGGGATTAAAGCCGTGTGCCACCACATCCGGATCAGCACACACACAATTAAGACAGGACTGGCAATGAGTTGCTTAACAGGCTTTCTAGATTCCACCAGAATGCTAATGTAAAAATATTCTCCAATTCATTAGTCATATTTTCAATAATCCCAAGTATTTCTTAGTTTACTTGAATTTTTGATAAGTAGAATCATAGTAAAAAGTACAATACTAAAATTTATATCAATAACCCTAAAAATACTACGAGAAATACTTCTGTAAATATAACAGAAAATAATAATTACAACAAACCTCAGTATTCCAGTTCCTGTGCCAATATCCAGAACCGTTTTGGAGCCCCGGCGCACTGCCTTCTGGATTGCTGCGTTATAAATCATATTTCTCTTGGTGTCATTAAGCATGATGAAGTGCCAGCGCTCTACCAACCAGTTTGCTACACGATAGAAGTTCTCCTTCGCATC